TTTCAACTTTTCCATTTTTAAAGATGCAGTTAAATCCTGCAGGGATAAGAATTCATACATGTAATCATTCACTTTCAGAGCAATTGTCTAGCGCTAATGAACACCTACCACATATTTGAAAAGATACTTTGTCCAGAATAGCTAAAGTCTAACTTCCTGTAGTGAGTTTACTGGGAATCTACTGTGCAAGCAGAGGAACTTCACACCATTCAAAGCATTTCCATGGTGAAGCAAACACTAAGATGCTGTTTACACAAAGCTATTGGTGGAACAGTACAAGCCAGCAGCAACTTGTGGACACTTGATTTTAACTGGGTATTGGGTCCTGTCTACAGTTGTTATATTACCTGCACATGAAGAACAGCAAAATCTCACCACAGCAAAATCTGACCTTCTAGTTTAAAACACCAACATTTAGCATCCACTGTGATGCCGAGGTGCCAGTGTTAGACTGAAGTGGACAAAGTCAAAACTCACACAACACCAGTTTATTGTCCAACGGGTTTATTTGAAATCACAAGCTTTCAGAGGGCTGCTCCTTCGTCACAGCATCATCTGTGACTCTGGTGACGGCACACTCCCATCGGGTCACGAGGTTCAACATTCAACTTCCAGTCCAGAGTTTGAGCACAAAGATCAAGATTGATACCCTAGTGCCATACTGAGGTAGTGCTACCCTTTTGGAGGTGCCATCTTTCAGATGAGATGTTAAGCTGTCTGTGTGCTTTGGTGAATGTCAAGGATTTTACTGTATTATTTCAGAGAGGAGCTGGAGAGTTAGCCTCAGTGTCCTGCCCAATATCTATTCTTCAAATCAATAAAAATAAGTTATTTGTTCATTATCACATTGATATTGCTGTGTGTAAAACTGGCTGCTGCATTTCCTATATTACACCCGTGACTACACTTCCACGGCACTTCATTGGTTTTAAAAACCTTACAGAATTCCAGTGGTCATGAAAAGTATAATTAAAGGGTTGCTTCAAATTACACCACTACTCTTGCATGATATGCTGGATTGTGTTGGGCTGGGGGTGGTGGTTGCTGGAGGGAAGTGGGTGCTGGAGGGAAGTGGGAGGGTTTTGGTCGGGGGAGGGGTGAGATGTCAGTTAGTGTCGAGTTGGGGAGTGGAGGAGGGGTGCAGTGCTGGGTGGGCCCGGTGGGTTGGATCAATGAGGGGGTATTGAGTCTAGGGTTGAGGGCAGTTTATAGCTCAGGCAGGGGATAATGTCAGGTCTGGCAGGATCAGTTTGGGGTTGGGGATGGTGATGGTGATGGCAGCAAGTCATTAGAGTGGGCATTAGGTAGGGCAGTGGAGGATCTGTTTGTGTTTGGGTCTGGCAGGTTTGGGTAAGGATAGGGTGGGGTCAGAGTTTTTAGGGGTGTTGTGGTATCGAGTTGGGGATGGCATCGGTTGCATCAATGTCAAGTCACAGGGCTCTGGTAGTTTGAGGACAGGTCAGTGGGGAGTTGGGGGAGGGGTCAGTGGGGTCATTGGGAAGTCAGGGGTGAAGGGCTGGAAGGATGGGCAGATCAACTCGAGAAGCATTAGTGGTCTACAGTTAGATGAATTGGAGTGAGGAGGTGTGAAAAGTTCAATTATTACCCAGGAATTACAGTAGGTTTTGATCCTTCACTTTTCCAGGTAACTACTAATCTTCAGTAATTTAGAACCCTCTGAATTCTTCGACTCTAACTCAGCCTAGAGGACTTACTTTGATGGGTTTAAGATGTCAGGTAATTGCCCAATGGAAACCTCATCTTCCCAAGAAATCTCCCCATTGGAATTTCTGGGCTATTATAGTATAATGCTTCCAGCAAAGAACTAACATAGGACAGGACATTAACTTCAATTCCTTAGAGAGACTGAAGAAGTTAGGAAAGACTGTTTTACTTGGAGCAGAGAGGCTGATGGAGATATTTGACAGAGAAATTCAGAATCATGACTGAGTAGACTGGAATAAGCTGTTCCCATTGATAAACCATTGAGAACCAGAGACCACAGAGTGAAGATAATTGGCCAAAGAAGCAATGCTATCATGAGAAAATGGGTTTTTGCACAAAGAATGTTACGATCTGGAATGGATTGACTGAGAGTGGAGTCGAGGGGCAGGTTCAAGTGAGGCAATCAAAAGAAACTGAGTCAAAAGCTGAAAAGGAAGGATTTTCAGGATTTTGCAGAGAAAGCGGGGGAATGACTCCCATTGAACTGCTCCCTCAGAGGGACAGCACAAAAACAAGCTGAATGGCCACCTGCTGTGCTATAACTATTTCATGATCCCAGGAGCCCATCTGGATCATTCAGATGAAAGGTCAGTGCCCGCAGATTCTGGTTCCATATTCACATTGTGCACAGCTCTGTTCTGGATCCACAAAACTATACATGATAGAAGCTGCAAAGTTCACTTCAAGGCACAGCAAAGAAAACATGGGATCTCTTCACAGCGTTTCCAAGTTAGATGCAATTTGTTCTTTTCCCTGACAGTGTGTTGGATGTGATTTGTTACAAGAATGTGTAGCTTCCTGTGTTCACAAGTGTAGCACAAATAATAAACAGATTGTTGGAATGCATTCAATGAGTCCTCACAGATGACACCAACCCTTTCTTTTATTGGCAATCTAACTAATCTCTCAGATACATTCACTGATCATAATCTGAAAGACTAGGATTACATTTGAGCCCTCAAACTCAATCACTGGACAATTCTTTCTAGCCGGTCCACACGGTGTCAAAGGCTAGATTCCGAAGGAAACAAAATTCACTGTGATGTAAAAAATGATGGACTCTTCACTCAGAACCTCAGGGGAGGTGATGACCTAGTAGTATTATCACTAGATTACGAATCCAGAAACTCAGCTAACGTTCTGGGGACCCGGGTTCAAATCCCGCCATGGCAGATGGTCGAAACTGAACTCAATCAGGAATCTGGAATTAAGGTTCTAAAGATAACCATGAATCCATTGTCAATTGTCAGGAAAAACCCATCTGCTTCACTAATGTCCTTTAGGGTAGGAAATCTGTCATCCTTACCTGGTTTAGCCTACATGTGACTCCAGACCCATAGTTATGTGATTGACTCTTAACAATTAGGGATGAGCAGTAAATGTTGGCTTAGCCAGAGATACCCACATCCTGTGAATGAATTTAAAAAAGCAGCCAATTCTTTGCCAAGAGTTCTCCTGCAGCAACCAATTTGAGGGAGAGAAAACGCGTTCCTTTCCTTATAAAAGCAAGTTGGTTTAGTTCATCAGTGTCTGGCCATTCCGTTCTATCAGGTCAACACACAATAATGAAGCAGACAGTATTTCCTTCCAAACTCAATCTCGAGATGGAACTGCCTCCACACTGAGAACATGTCCTGCCAAGTGACCTGTTTAACAGTAACTAAAGCTGATTATCTCCCTGCTGTGAACAATATATCTGCTTGCGCAACAGGACTGCCTCCCTTGCTTCACGTAATCTTACTTTTTTGGCAGAAGATATGAATAGTTTGAAGAACATATTAAAGCATCTTGCCCTCACAAGCAGACTCTTCACTTACTAATGAGACACTTGCATGGGGACTGCTTCCCTGCTAGATAATAGCTTCAACAGACATGTCTGTTTATACATTGAAAGTCTCATTGAGAAGCTAAGATAGATTACATTCTCTAGTATCAAAGTATGCTATGTTTCAAAATCCTCTCAAAATAGTATTCGACAATGTCAAAATGATTTTTGAAACCCGTTACAGTTAAGGATGTATTATGAAAAATGTGATACAAATAAAATGACACAGTGACATGTGATACCAGTTCTCAGCTGAACCAGACTCAATATCACCGAATGAGTGCAGCATTTTACCACATACACTTGACATAGCTAAGTTGGATCTCAATCTTTCTGACCCTCTGTTTTGAAGTGACATTTAGATGATTAACACTCATTAAGTGAATGGTCAATTAATGCACAACCGTGGGGCGGCACAGTGGCTCAGTGGTTAGCACTGCTGCCTCACAGCGCCAGGGACCCAGGTTCAATTCCACCCCTTGGGTGACTGTCTGTGTGGAGTTTGCACATTCTCCCTGTGTCTGCGTGGGTTTCCTCCAGGTGCTCCGGTTTCCTCCCACAGTCCAAAGATGTGCAGGCTAGGTGGATTGGCCATGCTAAATTTCCCTTAGTGTTCAGGGGTGTGTAGATTAGGAGGTTTATAGGGGGATGGGTCTGTGTGGGATACTCCGAGGGTTGGTATGGACTTGTTGGGCCGAAGGGCCTGTTTCCAGGAATTTGTAGGGATTCTATGATTTAGCTAGTGGAAAGTGGGGTGAAATCTCTGCATTGCTTATGGATTGGTTGGAACAGAATGATGGGAGCATCACTCTTACAGAGGGAACCAGACAGTGTGCAGTGTGCAATCTCCACAGGTCAGGGTAACTTAATGAGTAAAACACTTACTATTGAGGGTCATCCCTGTTTGGAAATGGGTGGGGGATCCAGCATTATCTGAGGGATTACAGACATGCAACAGTAACTTACACAATGGGACAGTTCTGGAGATACTGGGGAGCAGGTACTGGAACAAAAGCTGCATCAGATCTACCTCAATCCTGATCATTCAATCAGGCAGTTTAACAGATCGAATTAGAATGCAAGAAGACTGAATGCCAAAAATATTTTGATTAGATTACTAACTATTAAAGTTTCCTCAAACCTTAAAGGTGGCACCATGACAGAAAGAAGGATGAAATTTCACAAAACAGAATTGGTTATACACCACTTACACTACAGTAATGAGGCTGTAGTGATTTAAACAAGTCACCTGGATTTATCCTCAAAGCGAACAGCCAGCTCTTAGAAACCAACATCCTGAAAAAGATTACTTCAGCCATATCTTGGCATTGACAAGCACAATGACATGCTGTAGTTGACATGATCTTGTAACAACCATTTCCAGACTCCTGCATGCTAACGGGGAAAGTAACGTGTTTTATCAATGTAAGAAAATGGAAACCTTTCCCACCTGTGTTACTAGTTGCTCCTGTGTCAGGTTATTGATCCAACGAGCGTAACGCTCAGTGGAGCCTTCGGGTTCTCGCTTAACTTGGCAACCAATGATCTACGGTTACAAACATACAAGGACACATTCACTCAAAGTAATCTTCAAGCAGAATAAGGTAAAGAAAACAAATTAAAGCAAAAATCCAGGCTCTGTTTTACATAACTGCCAGTGAAGGGCCCATCAAATGATGCTCAAATATTTTTGTCAAACTTGTCTAAAGCTCAATCTTGGATGGTCAGAATGTTCTTCCAGCTAAATGCTGGGAAAAGTCAAAACTACCCTCTTTAACCCTCATGATGGATTCTGATATGCAGCTATCTGAGACTGAATCAGACTGTCCACCACTTTGGCCTGCTATTTGCACCCCTCAACAATGTGCATTTGGCCACGTACAAACTCCACCTTAAAAATCCTTACTTCTACCACCACCACATTCCCATCTCCACACTTGCTCCAGGTCATCTGCCATGAAACTCTCACCCATCCCTCTGTTACTTTTGGATGGCACTATTCTAATGCACCTACAGCCTCCCATCTCCCACCCCCCATAAGCTGGAGGTAATCCAAAACTCTGCTGCTGTGACCTTACTCGCTGCAAGCCCCAGTCACCCACTACCTTATACCATAGAAGGTACAAGGGTGAAGAAGAAAAATAGGAAAACAAAGAGACGATATCAAAAAGTTTAGGTGGGTAAAATTGAGGAAAACGCAGTGGTGCTTTGTCAGAACGCTAAGAGCAAGTGGATGACTAAGAAGTGTGTGTGTCCTATCGGAGACATACAGTCTAACTTGTATGTGGATGCAGAAGATGTGGGAGGGGTTCATAATGAGAACTTTGTCTCTGCCTTCACAAAAGCAAGGGATGGTGTGTAGAAATGGAAATAACCAGTTAAAGAGGAGGAGGAGGAGGGTGAAATATTAGATACAATAAACATAAGCACTGAAGTACCGGAGGAGATAACATCTTTGAAAGTGGATGAATTGCTGGGGCAGATGGATTGAATTCCAGGCTGTTCAAGAAAAGCAGGGAAGGAAACAACAGATACTCTAAGGATCATTTTCCAATCCTCTCTAGGTACAGACGAGGTATCATAGGACAGCATACCTGCAAACATTGTACTATTGTTTAAAAAGAAATGTGAAGGATAAGCCAAATTTATATAGGTTAGTCAGCCTGACTTCAGCATTGAGAAAATGGTTTATTCTGTCTCTCAGAAATGATTTAAACAATCAGCTGAGAGGGCACAGAATAATCACAGAGAACACCGTTTTGTTAAAGGAAGGTCAGCTCTTATTATTGCCAGGCCAGAATTTATTGTCCATCCCTAAATGCCCTGGAGAATGTGGTAATCAGGTGGGTTCTTGAATTGCTGTAGTACTTGGGGTGTAGGTTAGGTACACCCACAGTGCTGTAAGGAATAGAGTCTCAAGATTTTGAGCCAGTGAAGAGAAGGGAAATCGGTATAATTCCAAGTCAGGATAACGTTTCTTGGAGGGGGACCTGCAGATGGTGGTGTTCATCTGCTGCCCTTGTCCTTCTCGGTGGTAGAGTTTGCAAGTTTGGAAGGTGTTGTCAAGGAGCCTTAGTGAGTGACTGCAGAGTCTCTTGTAAATAATACAAACTACTGCTGCTGTGTGCCAGTGATGTAAGTGAATGTTTAAGGTGGTGGATGGTACTAATCAAGTGGGCAGTTTCATTCTGGGTGGTGTCAGGCCTCTTGATTGTGGTTGGAAGTGCACTCATCCAGGCAAGTGGGGAATATTTTATTACACGCCTGACTTGGTGCCCTGTACAGTATACAGGCTTTGGGGACTCAGGAGGGGAGTTCCTCACTGCAGGACTCCTATCCTCTAACCTGCTCTTGTAGCCACAGTATTACAATTCCACCCAGAGACCGGCTATAACAGCAAGAGGAAACGTGAATGAGGAAGAGTGATAATACCTGTTGGAAACATGAAGAACACAGTCAGATATTCTAAGTGGGTCTCAGAGTTGCGACCAGTATTTTTCAGATTGGAGGATATGGAAAGGGGAATGCCAGCAACATCTGGGCTAGGATGTTTATTGCTGTTCCAGGCCAGCGAAGAGAAGCCATGGACCTGATGGCCTTTTATTATACAGTCATACAGATGTACAGCATGGAAACAGACCCTTCGGTGATGACCAGATATCCTAAACTTACCTAGTCCAATTTGGCAGCATTTGGTCCACATCTTTCTAAACTCTTCTTATTCATGTAACCATCCAGAAACCTTTTAAATATTGTAATTGTACCAGCCTCCACCATTTCCTCTGGCAGCTTGTTCCATTCACACACCACCCTCTGTGTGAAAAAGTTGCCCTTGAGTTTCTTTTTAATTCTTTCCCCTCTCATGTTAAACCTATGGCTTAAAGCCTGGATCTCCCTAATCCTGTGAAAAAGACATTGGTAATTCACCCTATCCACACCTTTCATGATTTTATAAACCTCTATAAGTCACCAATATTTCAGGAAAAAATTCCCCAGCCTATTCAGCCTCTCCACGTAGCTCAAATCCTACAAACCCGGCAACATCCTTGTAAATATCTTTCCTATAGCAGGGAGACCAGAATTGAACTCAGTGCTCTAAAAGTGGCCTAACCAATGTCCTGTACAGCTGCAACATGACCTCCCAACTCTTATGCTCAATGTTACAACCAACGAAGGTAAGTGTGCTAGATGCCTTCTTCACCACCCTGTCTACCTGCGGCTTCACTTTCAAGGAACTATGCACCTTCTCCCCCCAACCCCCAAGGTCTCTTTGTTTGGCAACACCTCTCCAGGGCCCTACCATTCAGTGTACAAGTCCTGTCCTGGTTTACCTTACCAAAATGCAGCATCTTACATTTATCTAAATTAAATTCCATCTGCAACTCCTCAGCCCACTGGCCAATCTGATCAAGGTCCTGTTGTACTCTGGGATAAGCTTCTTCACAGTCCATTACACCACCTATTTAGGTGTCATCTGAAAACTTACTAACCATACCTCCTACATTCACATCCAAATCGTTTATGTAAATGACAAGAAGCAGTGGACCCAACACCGATCCTTGCAGCACCACTGGTCACAAGCAACCCTCCACCACTACCCTCTGTCTTCTACTTTCAAGCTTATTTTGTATCCAATTGTTCATTACACACCCAAGCATGCTTACACGGTCAAGGCTCTCGGTACTGCAAAAATTCAGGAACCTCTTTTTGCCAACCGGATGGCTGCCTGGTGATGACATTGGCAGTAGAAAGCTGCAACCAGAGACCATGGGTAACAGACCTGTGCATTCGTCAAAGAGCAAAGCAGAGGTTGAACTGGATTGAGAAGGAAGGAGGTTCAAGATCACGGATTTGGAAGGAAGGGTAGACAGATTGTGACAGTGAGGAAAAGGCTGCAATGAGCAAAATGTTTGCGCCAGGGGTCGAAGGGTCAGCCCTGTTCCTCCTGGGTCACAAGAAATACTGTAAAAAGCACTGTCTGCAGGCAGCCGTCTCTATTTCACTGCCAGTTTTCAAGAGTTCTGAGAAACCTGGCCTGCAGCGATCAAATTTAAATCAGCTTCCAATTTTACTGGGGGAGGTGATTTTAATAGTTCAATAAAGCACTCTCTTCTCTTAAGATGAGATAGGCATAGATTCACCACTTAACCTATTGCAGTAAAGGTAGCAACAGACCTACATTTACTTCACCACAACCCTCTCCTGCCCATTACACAGATGGGTAATGTTCCCACCTCTACGTTCTCTTTGCTGTACTCCCAGGGAGCACATATATTCACTCATGAGACGAGAGGGTCACTGGCTAGGCCACCATTAATTGTCTACGTCTAACTGCCCTTGAAAGGGTGATGGTGAGCTGCCTTCCTGAGCTGCCATAAAGCATGGTGTAGGGAAATCCATGGGTTGTTAGGAAGGCAATTCCAGGATTTTGACTCCGTGACAGAAAAGGAACAATGACACATTTCCGAGTTGGGATGGTGTGTGGTATGTAGAGGAACTTGCAGGTGGCTATGTTCACATGCATTTGACACACTTGTCCTTTTGGGTAGTAGAGATTGAGGGTTTGAAAGATGCTGTCGAAGAAGTGTTAGTGAGTTGTTGCAGTGTATCTTATTGATGGCACACTCTGATGCTACCGAGCTTGAATGGTGTACGGAGTGAATGTTGATGGTGATTGATGGGGTACCAGTCAAGCAGGCTGCTTTGGCCTGGTCAAAAATCACACGACACCAGGTTATAGTCCAACAGGTTCATGTGAACACACAAGCTTTTGAAGCATTGACCCTTCCTCAGTTGTAATGAGAGAGGAAGTATCAAGACACAGAATTTATAAGTAAAAGATCAAAGGACTTGTTTGAACAAGGCTTCTTTGCAGGATGTCCATACAACGCCAGATACATTGACGACATTTTCTTCCTTTGGACTCATGCTGAGGAATCACTGAAACGACTACATAGCGATATCAACAAGTTTCATCCCACCATCAGACTTAGCATGGACTACTCTTTGGAGTCAGTCTCATTGTTGGACACACGCATCTCCATCAGGGACGGACACCTAAATACCTCACTCTACCACAAGCCCACTGTCAACCTCACAATGCTGCACTTCTACCCTAAACCTGTTAAAAATCCATTCCCTATGGACAAGCCCTATGTGTACACAGGACCTGTTCAGGTGAGGAGGAAAGCAATGGATACCTAGAAGTGTTGAAGGATGCCCTTGTATGACTGCGATACGATGCTCAACTTATCGATTGCCAGTTCAGATAGGCCACAGCGAAAAACCGTAATGACCTCTACAGAAGACAGACACTGGATACTACCGATAGGGTACCCTTCGTCGTTCAGTACTTTCCCGGAGCGGAGAAACAACGCCATGTTCTTCACAGCCTTCAACACATTATCGATGACGATGAGCATCTCGCCAAGATCTCTCCCATGCCTCCACTTCTCATCTTCAAACAACCTCCAAACCTTGAACAGACCATTGTTTGAAGCAAACTACCCAGCCTTCAGGACAACATCGACCACAACACCACACAAC